ATAACTTTTACAACTGTGTTTTAAGAGTTAATACTTCCTTTAATTCCCAAAAGGAGTGGGCGGGTTGAGCGCTGTCGTCATGGGGAGGTCAGGGTGACCACGTGTAATGACGTAGACTAAAATTCCGCGGGCCCTCCCTTACCCACCGCCAATCAAATGTGCTCCCAAAAAGCACTGGGATGAGGATGCGATGGTCATTTACCAAAGAGGGTGTGGGGCATCTTTGTGATGTCGAAGGGAGGAAGAATTTGACGCAATATTCTGCCGCTCTGCATCGCTGTCTCGTGCCTTCGTCACCTTTTTTTTTAAGATGCCATGAAGGAGCGTTCAGGACACGAGCTTCAGCTTTAATCAGAGCAAATTAAGCAGCAGGTCGCTGGTCTCTGGATGGATGAGCCTAACGGAGGAGGAAGCTGCAGAAAGAGAAAGAAGCGCGACCACAACCCGCCAGTAGAAGATGATGATGCCGACGATGAATCAAAGATGGAGAAGTTCTTTGATCTCATCCACAACCTTGGAAAGAGCCTCAAGGGCCGTGCGGGGTGGGCAGCCACTGCAGAGAAGCACAGGGACAAGACGATGAAGGGAGGGTGGGAACCCAGGTTTCAACTCCAAGATTTCGCCGGGGATCATGGCGCCGTCGCCTTCAACGACAACACGGCCCCTCCTCCGCCTGATCTAGACTTGGCCCTTTCTCTCTAGTTTCCTTACCCCTCCCTGTCTCCACTGCTCTGTTGTCATCCGTGTGTTTTGTCCTTATGTTTGATGTCACATCTGTCTCCACTCGTGTGTGAACTTTCTCAATGTAATAACTCACGCCTCTGCTCTGTCTTCTCTTTTTACCGCAACCCTTGCTCTCTTCGTTCCCTTCCTCTTTCATTTTGTTTGCTATTTCTCTCTTCTCATTCTCAGGTTCTTCATTTTAGAATACTTCATTATCCGTGTTATTCATTTATTCCTTCTCTTTGAACAAAAGGCCGGCATTTATGATCAACAACATGCGCACGCACATATATACATACAAATATATATATATATATGTATACTTTTGAGAGTCGATGAATAAAGCACTTCTTTTAATACTGAGTTTATATTTTAGAGAGAGAAGGCGTACAGTAACAAGAAATATGCACACTGAGTCACTATTCACGTCTAATTTACTCTATATGGACTCAGCCAGTGATGTTTTTAATTTACATTGTTGGTGCCATTCATTCGTTGGCATTGGCGTAGGTCATCAACAGGGGGCATATAATTTCAATTTGGAAAACAAATGGCCACGTGTCAATCAATACTATGGTGGGCTAATATAATGCTAATTTCAATTCTTAACATAAGAGTTAGTTTGATATTTAATATAGTCATAAATATAAGAACTCAATTTATTTTGTTTCTTGTATTTATCTATTTTTTTAAAAATAGCTAGCCATTGCAGTATTGCACATGATTAATAAGATATTCTGGATAAAATAACATATGTTGATTACAAATAACTAACTTAACAAACTTTTTAAATCTATTCAAATTAGCGGATTAATTTTCATACCAAGGATGAGGGAGGCGGAGGTTGGGTGGTGGCAATGAATGTAAATACGTGCTTGAGCCTTGATATGGATCTGAGATCCGTGTGAGGTTGCTCGTTAATTTTGGAGACTGGTTTAACCTAACTTCTAACAACCACGCCACAGTGTAATTAGCGATGGAATCCAGATTTTGATTGGGGCTACGCTGCGCTGATGAACAGGATATTCCATTTAATTTGAGATCACCTGCTCCACCCAACAAAAGCTTACACGCCTAATCCCCTGTTTTGTCGCGACTAAGGAATGCTTAATCAATAAGCAAGTTAATGCCCCCATCCTATCACTTTTGCTTCTTAACGCAGTGTTTTTTTTGTAAAATTAACATAACACCTCCTAATCCGCCTAGTTTATTCTATCTGAAATGATTAATTAATTAGACGTGAATGTTGATACTTTCTTGTTAATTTGAGGGAAAATCCATAAATCATCATAATTATCTCTGTTTAATTACTTATCTGGTTCTATTTATAAGGCACTTCCAGCATATTTCAGACAGACAAAAAAAACCTTAAACTTCATTAACTCTCATTTAAAATTTAGTAACTTTTCAACTTTATTCCTATTTAATATATATTATATTTCATGTAAACAAAATCAACACAATAATAAGTTAGGGATAAAATTGTACATCTATATAAAAAAATTTTCTTAGTGTCCTATAAATAGGATAAAAAATTATCTTCTCTTCCTACTCTATAAATAGAACCAGAAGAGTAGCGTGTAATTTCAGGACTGGTGGGCTTATTGAACTCAAATTTAGCCCAGTGACTGGACAGAGCGGGGTATAGGCAGAACACCGAAGCCGCGGACGAGAAATGCCACGACGATGTCATGAATGTTAGCCTGCCCATGGACTTCGAATATTCGATTCGGGGCATGATTAAAGCCCACGAGGGGACAAGACACAATTAATGGGAGGACCACAATATGCAGCAGTTATGGACAAGACTTCTTGCGTATGAACAAAACTTAATTGTAAAGCAAACCAGCGCACGCAGGCACACGTGGACGAGGTTTGTGTTCCTTAACTATTGCTCTTGGGTTCAATTCCATTGGAACCAACAGGAGTTGGGTCTAACAGAAGGGGTTAGTTTCTCACAACGTGATGAACCAAGGTTCGAATCTCCGCTGGGAGAGGTGCCCACATTTAGTGCCTGACAATACCTCAAATAGGATTGCCTCTAATAGGAGGATACCTATGCTTTAGCAAAAAAAAAAAATTCTGCTAAAGGATGGGAATGGAGCAAGCATGCCCGGAAGGGTCACTCCCTTCTTGGACCTTTGCAGTACCCAGATGATTAGTCATTGGGGAACCGTCGCAGTGGACACACTATAACAAAAAGTTAATTGTAAAGCAAGCAAAACTTTTTATGAATTATAGTTATCCCCTGTATCTTCTATTTTTTTTAATTTTAATTTTGTGTAAATTATGGAAGACTAGCTGTAACGTAAGCATTAATCAGTGCCTGTCATAAATTACGATTGTTTGTGAGTTTTTTTTTGTTGAGAAAATTATAAAAAAAACTGCTGAAATTGAAAAATTACATACAAGAATCTGTTTACAAAAATCGTTGTCAAAACCCATATTATTATTATTAAAACTCATATTAATGTTATAACGGGTCCTGATTTACAATTTTTCCATTTCAGTAATCTTTTTTACAATTTTTTTTAAGATCTGATATTTTAACATCGTGCAGGCCCTTTTGTACACAATGTAAAATAACCCGTAAATCACATCAGATTTTTTTTCCCTAATAATGCATCACCGCCTGTAAAGTCTTTTCTATAGCGAGCTTCGATTCGTTTTTACCCTTTTAAAATATAACGAGCATTTTGGTCATTTCATAATTCAAATCGATTTTGATACGGTACTCTAGCAATTATGCAAATCTGAGGTCCTCATAAACATGATGAAGTCGTCAACGGCAGTTTTCCCATGGCGAATTGTCAAGGATTTAAAGGAGGAATGAGCAATAAAAGTTGACAAGAGTGAGAAAAAGCGGGGAGTAATGACATCACAACGCCCAAATCATCGATGGTGCTTCCTTTTTAAAAGCATGCTGTATTTTTCATAATCTGCAAGCCGGAAAAAGTACTGAAATGGTTGAACATGGTACAAGATGCATGAGTTGCCAAGCACGCCGCACACCAGCAATTTAGGGTCCATTTAAATCAACGATTAAAAAAATAACTTATTAAAAAAATAGTTTTTAGAAAAATGAAGTTGGATAAAAGTTAAATTGGATAAGTTGAATTACATATGGATTAGAGTTTAGAAAAATTAGTTTATAAAAGTAAGATTGGTAAAAAGTTGTTTGGATTATGATTGGGTAAAAGTAAGTTTGGTTGTAAAATAACCAAAATAAATATGAGTTTTAATAAATAATGAAACATGACTAAAAAAAATATTTTCACATAATTAAAATGAAATTAAAATAATTTAATATGAAAAATTCAAATTTAACGAGTGAATTAAATTTTAAAGCTTTAGATAAATCATACAAGATATTTTAAATATAAAGTGAAACATAAAAAAATAAAAGTATATTTCTATGAGCATATTTAAAAATAAAAGTATATTTCTAACTTATTTATTACTTTCAACTAATTTTAATTGATTTTTTGTTATCTACAAATTAGTTATTTGAAACTTATAATAAGAATTAAAGGAGTTAATAAATTTCTTCACTTTCTCTCTCTCTCCCCATATTTTAAAAACTATAAGTCATAAGCTATTAATTTTAGTTTATAACTTATTGGAGCTTTTCATACAAAACCGGATTGCAGAAAAGCTCATCCAAACAGCATCATTGTGTCAATCGGGCTTGCAGTGCTTGTAAGCTACTTATAAGCCCAAAATAATGAATGCCAAACAGGCATTTAATATTCCTCTGGTCCTTAATACAAGTCTTAATTATTAAATTAATTTTAATCTTAAATATAAGACTAATTTATTATATTCATTAATTTTTTTTTAAAATTATTCTATGGATACTATCTCAACCATAATCAAGTAAGTAAGGAAGAGAGTATATTAAGAAAGATAGTTATAATATTTAAAAAAAAACATGTCATATTTTTTATAATTAACTAACTTACCTAACTTTTTTAATCTAATCAAATTAGTTAAATAGGCCTTAAAGTAATATACTTGCGAGTATATTTAAATAAATGATAAGGATATAAAAATTAATTATGGAAAATTTATTACTGAGATTGCGGTGAGCGTGGATCGAACACGCGACCTTCAGATCTTCAGTCTGACGCTCTCCCAACTGAGCTATCCCCGCGACGTCTGACCCTCAGTCGTAAAACTTGATCATACTCTTAATCCCTGTTGCTTGAATTGTCCCTGCATGAAATTGTACGCGTGTCAATACTTTCTCAGATCCTCCTTCGCAGCGCCATATTAGGATTTCCGTTCTCGATCCCCCTCAACATCATCGCCATGAACAGTATGGTACTGGGCTTTTGTTTCGCTTGAGTCATCGGTTTCTGCCCTTCCTGGTCGAAACACGAGTAGCGTTCAGTTCGCGGTTCTGCTCATCTCCTGTTTCTGGGAAATAATGACCTCTATCTTGGCAAGATCCCTCCTTATTAGTCCTTCAAACTTTCATCTCAAAAAATTCGAAGTCCCTTTTCAAGATTACAGATCGATTGCTCCCAGTTTCCATAGTTATGAATTTCCTTGCCTCGCCCTTAGACACAAACGCAATGCCACGGCCCCGATTGTCCCCAAAATCAGAGCTCAGAGTCTTCCCGGTACAAATGCCGACGATGTCCTTCATTGTTCAAACTCTGTTTATTCTGTTACTGAATTGATTGCTCACTCTCCCAGATTATGTTCCCGATTCCAAGTTCTACAAGGTGGAAGCGATTCTCAGGTTTTGAAGCTTTTTTACTCCCTTTCTTTTTGGTCTGCATGTGGAGTGGAAGGAATGACCGATGTTTTCTTAGTTAAGTTGAGATAAGTTTTGTGAACTGACTAATGATCTTAATTGATCATATTTTGTTGAATTTGCTACGGAGCAGGCCTTGGCGAGTCCCTCATGTTTCTTCGGTATGGGCTAACCTTTGATTTGATCACTATTATGTGCAATTAAGCGTTGCGGTAATTTCTTTAAATGGGGCAGGGATACCTTATGAGAAGGTGATTCATTTCAGTGAAAGTGACGTTAACAATGCTTGCTTACTGTTTCAACATATGAATATTCTCATTTCACTCTTCAAAATCCTCACAGACTGTATTGCGATTTCTCCTTTCTTCCTCTCTTTTTCCCTGCAGGAAGGTTTTTTTTTTTTTTTTTTTTTTGTGTGTGTCTCTGCGTGTGTGTGTGTGTGTTTTTTTTTTTGGGGGGGGGGGTGTTCTGCTTTGGTACGTAATCACCCTTCTTAAATGTAGTTTTAATAAATTCTGAATCCTCACCATGGGCCATCGATTGAAAAAGGCTTGCTAGTTTCGTAACAATTTCCAGTCTCTTATTGAAAGCTTGTTTGTTCTCATCTGCCTAAATGTAACCGCGGTTTAATTCCATTGGATTGGGTGTGACTTCCCATCATCTCTCTTCGTAGGCGCTTAAACTGGTAATAGACAAGTAGAATCCAGCATTAATAACTAGTTCAGGTTCAGCGTAATTGTTCCTCCGAATATTTATGCATGGGTCATGGCCATGGACAAGTTCATGGCTTCCTTGTCATATTTGGACTCAAGATCGTGGCTAAGCATCTTCATATAGGAAGTCTTCTAAGCCCAACCTACCGATTTTTGTTTTCCTCCCAGAACTATCGTTGTCTCTTGTCACGTCATGTTCCTCCACTTATTTAAAGGATTGGCTTGGCCAATATTTCTGATGCACTGTTCATTTGGGCGGGCCTGTGCTATTTTATTGACCGACCACCACTGAGTGACCTAGTGCCATTCCTCCCTTATTATTATTTTTTCCATGAAGGATTTGTTGAAAATGGGAATCCGTGGCGTCACAGTATCTGATGCCCGGGGCTTTGGATCTCAGGGTGGTTCAAAAGAGAGGCAGGGAGGTAAGTTCATTTCGAACTACCAAATAGTTAAAACTTAAAACTGAAGAAATATCATCTTGTTTCTACATGTCTTCAATGCCTTTTATAACAACGTTACCCCAATTTATTGCGGGAGTCATGTTGAATGAGTTGAATTTCACGTCATTGTGACTTTCCTTTTATTTAAGGAAAAAGTAAAACAACGCCGTTCATATATTTCACCAAAATACTAGCATTTTTTTTTTTGGAATAACATGTTTAGCATGTTAACCTATGCATATTCTATACCTAAGTAGATGATCACATTCTGCCTTACATGACTCTTTTAGGTTACTGATTTCAATGCAGGCTCTGAATTTTCTGAAGACAATTTTGTCGCCAAAGTTAAGTTGGAAATAGTAGTGAGCAAGGGTCAGGTATGTGGACATTTGATGGTAATTTGGGCGGCATTTTGCATTAAAATGGATCGTGTACTTCTCTTGTTAAGCATGGACAATTTTGTAAAGAAGAGAGGAGAAATCCTCAGTTGTTAATATGCCTTGGATTTTCTACTAGCTTATTTTCAAAATTGCTAACAATCATATATAAGGGAGCCATAAGTCCATAACCCCTCTGCATCATTTCTGACTAGATGTTATCTTTTAATTAGGTTGAAGCAGTTATAGACAAGATTATCAAGACATCAAGAACAGGGGAGATTGGTGATGGCAAAATTTTTTGTAAGGCTTCAACATTCTTTGCCAATCCACGTGTACTGTCTTGACTGTTTGCAGCTTTATTTATATTGTATGTGTGGATGTGGATAAATCTTTACGTGCAGTTGTTTTAGGGATGTTGATGGGCTGTCTCAAGTTGATCATTACGTATTCTCATGTAGTAGATATCCCTCTACTTCGTCTCCAGGGAGAATGGATTTTCCAAACCCGAGATTGTGTAAAGCTTAATTGATTTCCTGCTGAGCAATTAATTGCTTTTCTGTCTACGTGCTAGAGATGAGTAATTAGTAAAGTTTTTCAACTAAAAGCCAAGAGAAAGAAAAGAATTATGCAGATTAAGTGAAATGATTAATTATATAGCAGTGAGTTCAGATACTAGAACATTGAAAGTGCCCCCATGCCGCAGAACTTTTGCATCACACAGCAGATGAAGTTTAATGTGTGCTTCTCTTTTCACTTCTACTTGTGACAAGGTTAGAACTGAGGAAGTAAAATACTTCAATTCTGGTTTAGTTTCATATCCTCGTGTGCATCAAACTTACTACACTGCATGGAAGATTTGGCGTTGGATGGGCTGTTTCAAGAACCATCAGGATAACCGGACGTGAAAGTTTAGACTAACCTGATGCGCATTTCTTGCGAATGGAATTGGGTCTATTAACTTGCCTAGGTTCGCATAATGGATGTTTTGGTGAAAGAAAGAACAATGCTACGATCTATATATTGAAGAAAATATTTTATTTTAATGTCGTCACTAGAGATGGAATCTCAGTTTTAATGAATTATTGATTATCGATTGATTGTGCAGTGATACCTGTTGCAGATGTTATAAGAGTTCGCACAGGTAACCTGTTTGTGGAATTGTCCACATGAAAAATTGCATACTTGTTCTGTCAGCACATAAACTCAGAAGCAGTTGAATGTGAATTTTTCAGGTGAACGTGGGGAAATGGCAGTGAGGATGACTGGTGGGCCAGCTTCTGCTGTATGAGCATTTGGAAACAGAAAGACTTCTAGTTGGCCCTCTTCGGAGCATTTTGCTTTGTACCCATGATCCTTTTCTTCTCAAATATTACATCGCAGTGCTATTTAACTGTTACTTCATTGAAGGCAGATTGTGAAGCAATAATCAACTAACATATGCTCTGATAGCCAATAGTAACTGATAAGTGGAGGTTTGAGTCGAAATTTTGATTTCCTCTTTTTTAAGTAGTCACTTCTTGATGAACTGAATTTTTATGTCGGAAACATAAATCAAAGCATAAAGGAGTTAACAGGAGGAAAGTAGTTTTAAATACGCAGAATTTATATGCAAGTAGTTTTTGGAAATAATTTATAAATCGCCCTAAAAATTCACACTTTGAAAAAAGAGGCTTTTGGTAATTCCTCTTCTAGTGATTGTAACTAAAATCAGACATGAATATCAATACCAATATGTATGTAATATCTCGACTCCTTAATATAAAAATAGTCAGTGATTTCTAATATAAGAACTAATTGTGGGACTGAATTTAATTTTAAATATAATATCTTAATTTACTTTGTTTTTTATTTTTCTTAAAATATTTCTATTGATATTTGATACATATGATTGAAGATAATAATTTAAGAAAAATAATACATATTTTTAACAAATAACTAACTTAACTAATTTGCTTAATATTTTTAAACTTAGTACTAATTTTGGAGTTATAAATTTTTAGGATGGGAGTTAGTATAGTAAATAACATGGAGATATGTGTCTAGTTTTCCTGAAATCTAGAGGGCATAAAGAATCGATAAAAATCAGAAATTACGTGCCAGTGATAGAAGAAAACTACATATTGTATGAGAAGTGGGAAAACACTTTGTTTTGCCGAAGGAAATGGGAAAATACTGCATATTACTAAGATGATTTATTAAATATTTGATAAAATCTGGTACTTGCATAATTTTTATCACACGCGCTCTTGAAAACTGAGGCACTGCGTGCTCTTCCAACAATTTTTTTCGACGATAATTTGCAGCTCATTCTCATTAAGAAGGAACTCATACATCATCCTGGTAACACGGGACTAGAGTCAGTACTATAGGTTGTACCTAAAGGTCTAACCCGTCAACCCGCTAAAAAAGACATGTTAGGATTGGTTAAAAATCAAACTTCTAGCCCGAAACTTTTTAACTCGCACAGCATAACCTACAACTTGTCGTGTTGGGCTAGCCCGCATTTTTTTAAAATTTTTTATTAATTATTATAATTATATCATTATATGTTACATCCTACCTAAAAAAAGTTTAAAAAATATTAATATCATTTATTTAGTGTTTTCAATTAAATATTTGAAGGAAAAATAAAAATTTCATTACATTTTTCTTTATATTGTATAAGAAAAAATATTTAATAATAATAATAATAGTTAGCAGGTTGGCCAATTCACCATAACGAGTTAGTTTAGCCAACCCATCATTACACGAACCTTTTTCAACCTGCACCACTTAATCCTAACTGGTCATGGGCCAACCTGCCGGTTGACCCAATGGTCAAAACTATGTTTTCGGCCATTCTAAATATATTAGAACCGTAAATTTAACGATACTAGGCGTTTGTCCTCAAAGCACTGCAGAGGGTTGGAATCTCATTTTCATGCTAAAAGCAGCAGGCATTGCCTTGGCTCGGACGATGGATTCCTATTCCATATGTTGAGCTGAATTCTGCTCCCTTTTCAATTTCCAACCACAGAAGCATCAATCATTTTCTTCCAGCCTGCCAAAACTCGTTCACCATTACAAGCTCGGCATCAACCTCAGGTTGGCGTGCTACTGCTCACCTCACTGCTACGAGTTTGTAGTTACTGATTGAAGGTTGAAGCATTCTACAAGTGGAGACCCACCGATGGACCGTCATTTCATATGGTCCATTCATTTCACCTTTCTCGGCAGGAAAACAGGGAAAACAAAAGCTAAAATGTCACATTAATTCACAACATTGCTTCAAACCGAGGCCCTTCTTCCACCGCTTAGTATGGACCCTTCAGTACCTGCTGAAAGCCACTTGACGTCTTGCTCAGACATCCAGCCGGAATATTTTCATGATGCTCATATATTTTCTCACGCGGACCAGCTGCACTTTTTACATTTAACAGAATTTTCAAGAAACGCTTGACTAACGTTTTCTCAAAACACACTCCCCCCAACTGTTCTGATAATATTACAATAGAAACCCGCAACTTTAATTTATCTTTGATATTTATTTCTATTTTCATCGCTTTCATTATTGTGTCCACATTGACGAAATACAGAAATTATCCAAATAGGCGTAAACAAGAGAGGTCAGGAATACTTTTGAAAAGTATTTTACATTTTTAACATGTTCCTTGTGTTTAACTACATTTTTTCTCATCTATGCTACATCTTACAAAAACAACATACAAAGTATAGATGATACCCAAGCGAACCGGAAAAACCGTGGGAGCAGAGAAGCACGTTGTTCGCAATTGGCCAGCGGACATAGAAAATAGTACAATTCCTTGCATCGTGAAATACATTTCACTTCATAAACATTACTTACGTAGCAAATTTTACAAATATTGACGTTGACACATCCTATAGGCGAAGACAAATATACGCGGGCGTGCAAATTCTAAAAAGGACCAGAGCAAAAGCGATCCCCCTGCCGAGAAGCGCCAAGCCCCAACACTTGAACAGGCACGGCTTAACCTAAGCGTAAAAAACAAAATCCCAACCCAATATGGAAAATTAAAAACCACCTCCCCGACCTTTACAAGAAATCAAAGGAACCAATCTCGTTGAAACACCAACGCTCCATCTGGGTTCCATTCTGTGGGTAGAGTCCGGCCATCGTGGCGGGAGTTATATTAAGCGGCAGAAGGGGCTGTTATGTACTTGAGTTGACCAGCCTCCGACATTGCTGCCATCAATGATTCCCTCTTCACTGATTCAGCATCACCTTGGACTCCACTTCTGCCCTTATCGTAATCCAAGGATTCGTCGTTGTATATGTCCCACCATTTCTTAACCAGCATCTTTATGTCCTCTCTATCCATGTTCTCTTCCTTCCCTGTATATCGCCACGGCTTCGACCCCTGTTCAACATTCATCATACAATCCTCTTATCAGTGTCACCTAGTTAAAATTGAACTGTTAAACCAATTAAACTTCGGGGACTGATAACTTACTGCAGCGCAGTAATGAACAACTTTGACTTCGTCAAGTTCCACATTCTCAGGGTGGCGCCACAACATTGCGAGGACGAGGTTGTAGACCAAGGGAATAGGTTTGTAAATGGGCTTAAAGTACAAGTTTAAGAAATCTTGCTCCGCAAAAGGTGTGGGAGGAGTGATTTGGAGTGTTTTCAAGAGATCGTAATATGTCACCATGCCGGGCTCGAACACGAACATGCCGGCGTTAAAGTACAGAGCAGGTGGTTCACCCATCTCAGCAGGCCACTGTACCTTGTCAGGACATTGCTGGCAGTACCCGATCTTGTACTGCGGGGTGTGGCTCCAAGTCTTCTCGCAGAAGCAGTCCATGACTGCGTAGAAGTGTCCGCCCGGCAGATCGAATAGATGGTCGATGTTGTCGTACACTTGAATATCTCCGTCCAAATATATCATCTTGCTATATTCCACGAACTGCAATCATTTCATTTGAATTTATTACGACCACAAAAATAAGTGAAATACAAGCACCCGCCCGGTAAAAGATTTGGTAAACCCATTCAAATTAATTGATCAACCTTTCAATTACACAAATGCTGATGGACCTCCGCGGACACGGGGCCCAGTGAGAAGACGAACAACGTCATGAGTTCTACAACGGATCCTACCAGGACATCTAGACAACGTAAGACGTAACGACGAAGAAAGCAGGAACTAAGAAGGTACCTCCCAGATGCGGAGCTTAGAGTAGTTGATAACGTAATAGGCCATGGCAAATTGAGTCTGGTTCTCGGGGGGATAAACGGGTTCGATCTCCCGGACGATGCAGCCCTGAGACTCCAAGATCCGACGGTGCTCCTCCGGTACGTCGGGGAGGACGGCCACCACCAAGGGATACGCCGACCTCACCTTTCTCAGACCCTTCGCCAGACCCACAACGCCTTTGACGTAGTCTCCATTCCCCGCAAGAAATGTGACATAGGCGCGACTCGGCAGCGTGGCCGGGCCGGTGAAACCACCGGATTTAACTACGGTAGGGACGAGTTCAGGAGCCATGTTTTCAAAAGTGAGAGGGACGAATCAAAGACGGCAAGCGTTGAAGAGGAAAGGATCCGAATGAAAGAGGCTTCTAGACTCCTAGGTAACAGGGAGCAGAAGAGATCAGGATAGAGAACGGGAAGATGCCCGAGCTGAAGGAATCGACCACAACAAAGATGCTAGCTGGAGGGAAAGAAGTGTGGAGCATAAATTTATAGGCAAGAAGGGGCGATGTGATTTTACGAGATGGGGGTTGCGGGTAACAGTACGTGCTGAGGAGATCTAGGGCTGTATGTGGACCACGTGGAGAAAAGGGATGATCTGACGGCGTTGGAAGAGTCAAAGGATGCTTCTGGAAAAGGGTCCCCCGGGAATACTATCTCCCTCGGAACACGCTAGAAGACGCTACTGTTTCCCCATATGTACGTGAATGCATCCTCCCAGTTTGACAAGGCGCATTTGACAACTATTTTAATTCTTAATTTTTAATTCCCTTCTCCCGGCGCATCTCGTCCTCGCACTACCAGGAGCTTCTCTTTCCTTCTTTAATTTGTTACATAAAATGAATTTTTGTTGTGCGTATGGTAAAGAACCCCCCCGACATTGATTTTGGAGCTGAATAAATACATATATGAATATTTTGAAAAAGCAGAATATGATTATGAGGCTGAGAATTGTGAGGTTTTTTTTTTTAAATTTCCGGTCAAAAATTGGGGGGGGGTTAATTATGAATAAATCAATCCGATACGACGATGTAGTAACAAAAAGTAGATTATGAGAGATGGACTAAGGAAGTGTTTAGTTACCCTAAAAATCATTTTTAAAAAACTTTTTTTTTATAAAACAAGACAAACTCCTTTATATATTTATTTTATAAATTATAAAAATATTTTTAAAATTATAGTTTAGTTTCAACACCCCTTAAAAGAGAATATGAGTAAGCATGTGGGTTGAGAAGAATGGAGAGAGAAGTAGAAAAAGGCAATTGGAGCATGGACAAATTTAAGTGCGTGGGACGCCATCACGGAATGGAAATCTAAATCGTGGTTGAAATTCAGAGTTGCGATGCAGGCGTCATGTCAAGGAAGGACCTTCCACAATCCCCGACGCTCCTCAGTTCTCCTCCCCTGATATATCATTTGTATTTTCCTGATAAAGAACATATTACGTATTTAATTATATAACAAGCATACGTTATTGTGGGGTGATTGTATTAGGCCAGAGTTTTTGACGTGATGGGGCCTATTCATACAAATCTTTTCTTCCAAATCACGTGTTAAATTCAGGGTGCTGGAGGTGGTACTTCAGTCTCACAAATGGTAAAATATTAATACAATGTGCTGTCTATACGTATTAATTAAATAATAAGTAATCGAATGTAAACTATATTAATTAATTTTGCATTGCTTTTATCTGTTAAGATACGCTTTCCAGCTCAGAAGAACCCCCACTTTATGTCCGGCAGGATAGGTCAATCGTACAATATTTTAGCATCTTTATGAAAGTTCTTTCTATTTGAGTTGCAATTTTAAGGAGCATGAACCAGGCTTTTTGTCGTGACATGGTGGGGCCTGTGGTTTTGAACTTTCTCGCACGCTCCTTTTCATCTCTCTGAGTCTCTGCTCTAAAGTATGGCCACTCATTTTCTGTGCGACTTCATTGGTTCGCAATTCATGGGCAGCCCCTAATTGGCGATTTTGATATCAGCACCTACTGGTTTAATTTAACTTCAACCTCACCTGTTTGAAAATTGCTGCCCAACTCCCTACTTGCTCTCCCCTCTGGTCATTCTCACATACTTGTATTATTTTTTACATGAGGGGTTAATTACGAAAAGACGTGGATGCTTCTACAGGCTTGGAGTTTGGTCGCGAGCTGTCGACTGATCCAACTATTGACCCGACTGTGTAGAATTTATGACCTGTGATCATGGTTATTAGCATCAATAATGTCGCGGAAGGAGTAAACTTCCCGTTTTCGCTGGACAGTCGCTCTACCAATGCAGCTCATTGATTAATTAACTATAATCACAGTTAAATGAGAAATCCTAAGAATCTTAGTTGCCACTTGCCAGTCTGCCAGCGAAGAGCAAAGGACAGAATCCGGTGCAAATAAAAGACATGATGAGACGAAGCCAGTAAATGGGGAATTTGGCGTGGGAAACGTGGCAGAGATGTGATCCCCCCCCGGGGGGGGGATGCGAGGGGAGGAAATAATATAAAATAGCGAAGGTGACAACTCAAACAAATGGATACGAGTTGGCTTTGAGAGGTGCGTGTGTGAAATACTAAATATACATCGTGGTCCCCTCCTTCATATAAAAATTAATTATCTAATTTAAATAAATTAATAAAATTTAGTTATTTGTAATTAATAAGTATTGTTTTTCACAAAATATTACCTAAAACTACTATTTGATAAATTTTTAAAAATGTGTAACTGTTATATTAAAAAAATTAGGTAAATATGAGAAACAAAATAAATTGGGATCTTATATTTATGATCAAATTAAGTATCAAACTAACTTTTATATTAAAGATATGAAATAGTACCTCTGGTTTTAATTATTAAAATTTTATTTATAACCTGCAAATAAAATTTTATAATTGAAACCTAGTATCATGTGCGTGTGAAAGGATGAGATGGCATAGAATAGCATAAAAGATAAATGGGAGTGTGTCAACAAAATTTGGCCCGGTGCGCCCACTTCCATCCCTGCCACACTACGCAACACCCCCCATCCCAACTTTACATTACATTACAACCTCGCTCCCTCCGGGCCCCTTCTCTCACCTTTTATTAATATTATTTGGTGAATTATCCCCATCGCATTCTCGTTTCAACCCTCGATCCGATCCTTTTCCTTTCCCAGTTTCTGCACGTCGGAAAATAAAAGAGTTGCATATAGTCCAAAAGCAATGTCGTTCTTAACTTGCACGGAGAACCTTTTCATGGCAGTTGCCGTCCCAATTAACGTATCCATGGACGTGCACCGAATAGAGTGTCTGAAGCCCACAGGCTCGCCCATCATGATGGGTTCGCAACAAAGAACAGAAATGGGCTTAAGCCCGATATTATGGGCTTCGTTGTAGTCCAATGGGCCCATCGGCGCTTTGGAAGCGGGACGCAGGGAAAAGGGCGACGTGCTGCCTCGGCTGAAAATGAAATGGGGGTATACACGTCCATTCAATAGAGATGGTTGATCTTCTGGAAAGGGAGTCGCTTAAAAGTTAAAAGGTAGTGGGGATTTTTATACGTGTTAAACAATACCACTTAATGGAGAAGAGAATTGCGTGGGGCCTGAGATGGCTGAACTTTGGATAAAGATGAGGAGATGATAGGCATGGAAGAATATTCCTTTTTCAGAGTGCAGTGCAAGCACCCAGCGACATCATCGTTGTTACGTACGCCTCGCCCTCTGCTTTGGTTTTGTGTTCCAGCCATGTTATGAATGCAGATACCATGATTATATATGTGCTGATCATGATTCAGAATGTGGACAAGTTGATGCGTTGCATTGGTTTTAATGGTTTGGTAAATGAGAGATAAACAGTAAAGACAAGCACCATCACCATCTGATGAAAACTGAAATTTATTAATAATTTTCCTTTTGCAGACAACAAAAGGATGTCACAAGTCAACGCAGCATGGAAAGAAGGGATTCTTGTTGGTCGGGGAACATTAGCCATCCTATGGAATACAGCGTAAAAGCAGAGCATCTGCAACAACACGATTTCATAATTACTAGTAGTTAATAATTACCCTCTCCACAATCAATCTTCACTGTCTTTCTTTCCTTCTTTCTTCTCTTGGGCATTGCAGAATAAATTGATTGACGTCCACCACAGGGCTTGACATTCTTTTTTTTTCTTTTTGCCAACGAATGGCTTGACATTCCATGAAATGAAAAAAAAGCTGTATTCTCCATGGGTAACCAAAGCGACCATTTTATTCTGCTGTTGCTTCACAGAACTGACCCGCCTAATTCATAGGATGATCGCCTATAAGAATATGATTGTCTGTACAACATAAGAGCATAGCTTATTGATTAGTATTCTGAACTGACCAGGATTCCAAATTCCAAATTTCATCTCTCTCTCTCTCTGGGGACGCATTTCTCCTAGTAAAAAATGGAGTCGATTAGATTAATTGTGGCTTTTCATATTCTGCATTGATATCCGACCAATTCGAGACTTTCCATTCATCTAAAGCCATGGTAGGCAGGGTAAAGACGCGTAATCATTTTGGAATCTGAGAATAATCAGCAAGTCAATTGAGAATATGGTTGTACATGACTGAGAGTTGAAATTTCTCGTAATATATCTATCGAGAATATAATGTTACTAATACTCGTGCGTACACTCCTCTGCAGCCTATGGTCTCAATCTCTCACTTGGAAAACGCTGCCCCCTGTCTCATATGTCATAAGCTTCGAGTCTCTGTATCCGAGACTGGTTCCCCTGAATGATTTTTTTTTCAAAGGAAAAAAATGATTATTCTCCGAATGCTAATTTATGCAGAGCATCGTAACCCTGTGACCTTGTTATTTGTACTCCCGTTTAAGAAGAGAAAAGAGAAAAATGCCTATATAGTCCTGTTCACGAATGAAAACTATTACGTTACTTAACAAAAGGCCCCGAGACACGAGTAGATTTGCTGTTATAGATCGGTGTTTGTAACAGTAAATTAGATTGTTTATGAAATTTATATTCAGTTACTTTTCTGATTTCATTTGTAAATATAAGGTATATGTGTTATATATCAACATAAACTAAATTATCATCGAAGCAGTAGTGAGTAGTGGTCCATAATTTATTAATTGTTAACATCCAGTTGAATTGATGTAGGA